AGGTTTTGTGACTAATTGTTGATTCGTTAGATGTAGGAAGTTATTTTTTGACTGGAAGAGCTGGAGAGATATGTTTTCATGCGATCAGTCTATTTTAATTTCCCAGGATCCCTTTCACACGCAAATTAGTCTTAGTCACGGGATTGGACAAGCTGCACTGCATCAGGAAAAAACAATAGGCTGCAAACCTCACGCCTGAAGGTCTGCAGGGCCAGGGGGGAGACAGCAGAGTCCTCAGTGCTGGGAGGCATCATTTCCTTTGCTTCTACTGAAGTATTAAAGGAGATATATTTACTGTTTCTGCAAGTGTGTCAGGTGTGTTTTTCCTCGCTCGTCTCAACACAACAGATACACTCTAATTCTAGTTCTGCCCGTGAGCTCCGTCTCACGGGCAGAACTGCAACTTGAATCGTTCATTTAGGCTTCAAGTCTTTTTGACAATACGCGTGTAAACGTGAGGTTGATTTCTAATTTTAAAAAAGCCAAAGAATAATCTGAGGCCCCTACCGGCCGGGATGCCGGTTAAGAGTATCGTGAGCAGGAAGTGAATGGCAGACAATAAAACAACAGACAATAAAAGGTGTTTTCAGAAAGTGTGAGTTAAATGAGCAACCACGGGAGGTCCTTGAGCATGCAACCTAACTGGACACCCAAAATATCATGCAGTCTGCTGCAGCAGAGTGCAAGATTAGGTGGACAGACTAGGTGCACACTCACACACGGACGCACACACACACACATGTAATTCTCCTTGCAGAGATAATGATAATTATGGGGTTGAAGCTACGACTTTAAAACTTATGGACACATCATAAACCTGCAGGTGTTTCTGTGTGGAGATCGTAAATATACAACTTTCAAAGTGAGGAAAAATACTCCAAATTCACAACTTTATTAATTTAAAGTATAGGTTCACATTATTCTAAGTCTGTCTAAAAAGAACATTCAGGCCCCATATGAACACAGTTAGTTAGTTAGAAACGTTGTCTATTGCAGTGAAAAGATAAAAACAAAACAATGTAACTGCAGAAGTTACCCGCTCGACTGTTGAAGCCTTCTATTAACCTCAGATAAACTACTGGATGCATTTTTTTTTCCCAGAATGAGGACTGTGGATTTTGTCCGCCATCACCTACATCACTGACAGCAAAGCAAACCCTGTTTTTAATGTTGTTATGGGAACCTGACTTCTGTTTTACGACAGACTTGACATCAATGTGACATGAGGACAACTTACATGGCAGCAAACCTCAAAAGAGTCTGTTGGTCTACACACAACAACATACAGAGCTTCTGCTGTTTACTCTTGTGTTATAAATATACAAGGTTCTGTGTGTGTGTGTGTGTGTGTGTGTGTGTGTGTGTGTGTGTGTGTGTGTGTGTGTGTGTGTGTGAGTGAGTGAGTGTGTGTGTTTGGCCCGACAGCCTGCTGCGGTGCAATAATTCATCCTGTTTATTTAATTTGGAGGACGACCTACACAGGGCTTCCACAGTTTGGTTCAACATCAGGTCTAAAAACGTCCGAGGTCTGAATCACGGCATCTATTTTCAGCCCGCCTTCACTTCCCGCCAATAAAAACAAAATGTTGCTTCAGAAGAAATGCAACATCATGCACAGATTGCACAAACACAAACACACTCACACACTCACAAGGCCCCTGTGTCACATTGTGAGTGGGTGGGTGTCAAACCGATCAGGCTGAAAATTGTGGAGCTGAAGGAGAAGTGAGGAGGTGAGCCGTGTGGGAGCGGGATGGACGGAGGGAGCTGTCTGTGTCCTCATGATCACTGCAAACTCCATCCATTTTCCACCGCTTATCCGGGGTCGGGTCGCGGTGGCAGCAGGTCAAGCAGGCCGACCCAGACCTCCCTCTCACCGGCAACATGTTCCAGCTCATTCTGGGGGATCCTGAGGCGTTCCCAGGCCAGCTGGGAGATGTAATCTCTCCAGCGTGTTCTGGGTCTTCCCCGGGGTCTCTTCCCAGTTGGACGTGCCTGGAAAACCTCCAGTGGGAGACTCATTTAAGTTATATTTTTATTATTGTGGGTGTTAAAAGGGTCACACTACAACACGTTATACCTGCAAATAATCCTCAAATTTAGTGATTAATACTCGAAGATTACGTAAAGGGCCACTTCACTGATTTCATTTTCCAGGGTGGAAGGTATATGTACATTTACTCAAATGCTGTACTTGAGTACAGTTTTGAGGTACTTGAACTTTACTTGTATATATTTCCCTTTACTTTATACTTCTATTTCATTACATTTCACAGGCAAACGATGTACTTTTTACTCCACTACAGTACATCTGACAGCTGGAGTTACTAGCGTTTAAAATTAAAAATGTTTAATATGCTTATGAAATTAAACACATTGTTAAAGATTTGCTGTTCTCAGCGGGTTTGTGACCTCTTACATAAAAGTAAAATGTTTCAGATGTCAATGAAATATTAAAGAACATTCACCCACTAAACTTCTGAGATATTTTAATTTAAATAACTGTTTAAGGCTCTTAGTGACTTTAATTACATTTTGCTGATGAAACTTAACTTAAAGTTACTGTGAGGAGCTTTTAACCGGTTATGAAACAGTCTGAATTTAATACTGATGCCTCTTTACTGTTACCTTAAGTAAACAACACCATCAGTGAGAAAATTGGCTATTTCTGTATTGTTATTCTTAACGCTTGTCACCGGGTCAGATACCACACAAAATCAAATGCAATCATGTCGGTTCACCAGAAACTCCTTCAGCTCAGACTCCAGCTCAGATCCGGCTTCACTGTACCCTGCAGTCAGAACTCCGGCAGGAAGAGGAGAGCTCTTCCTCAGCCAAAGTATCTGAATATGTCTCATCAATGCAGGTTTTACACATAAAAAAATCCTGTCTAGTCATGTTGAGTACTACTGAGCCTATATAAACAGTTGTGGGATGTTTTCTGAGGCTCTAAAGGAGTTTTTGTTACGTTGTTCAAAATTACCCAAATTATGTCGTTGTGGTGTTGCATTTTGGGAGGTATAGAATCCAGTGATATGGGAGCTTGACCCGTTTTAGGAATGAATAGTCAATCAATTTAAACCATGTTTTTTTTCCATCTGTATCACTAAACTCTTTCTAAGGGTTTCCGTAAGTTAGTGTTGTTTGCCCTCAAATAAGTCAATCTCCTGAATGAATTAAATTTGTTGAATTTAGAATTAATAACTTGAGCTAACAATAAAACAGATTGCTACCCTGACATATAATACCCACACCATAACCAAGTGTTTCCGTTTCCAACCATAATGTTGTCGCCAATTTTAGGAACATTATCACTGGACTTGTTTTTTGCAGAATCCTCCAATATGCTGCGGACAAACGCACAATCTGATCACTTTTATCTGAAGAGAAAACACCAGGTCTAATAGGGTCCACGGCACATCAGTTCTCTCCCTCCCACTGCTTCCTGTTTCTCTCTGCTTTGAACACAGTAATAAACACAAATAAATCAAAACAGGCCGACAAAATCTCTTTTTCAGGTTGATTTTCCATGAAGTAGGCGGCCATCTCTCTCTTTTTATGAGCATGTGTGGGTGGGTGTTTCCCAGTAGAAAGATGTCCAAATGAACTGCCTACGTCTTTAGAATGAAATGCCAAACACGGATGCCAAAACAAGTGAGTCACGCTCACATACATGAGTCATTGTTCATCTTGTGGGGACTGAAGTGAAGTTCTTACCTTCAAGGAAAACAAAAATCTTAGTGTTTTATTTTACTGATCATTCAGTTGAATCAGTGTGATGGAAAAGCAGCCACCTTTTGACCCCAAACAGCTGGTGGATAATGTGATGGATAAAGATGACATCCACATCTGGGTGGGATTATTTTAGGCATTTGTGCCCTCTTTAATATATGCTCTATTGCATAATACTACATATTATATTGCTGGATTACAATTGTTAATGCATTGAAGTTTTCATGAATTTAAAATGGCAATCCTTATGATTTCAGTCCTGGTTGATTTAGAATTTCAATTTGAGTGAAAACAATGGAGTTGTGCTGAGACTTCAGGACTTCTGGAGTCTAGTTGTTGAGCTTCAAGTGTTCAGAATTGCATAATTTCTTGCCACAAACAACCAGCTTGTAATACTGCAAATATATAAATATGGCAATACTTTCATCAGTGGACCATAAGCACAATCACTATTGAGTTATCTCCTTCGGCAACTTGACAGATATTTACAGCTTAGTGATATAATTATATCACTATATATAATTATATAATTATTCACTCAAATATATAATATTTGAATGAAGCATTATTGACAACAGTATTGATGGCCAACTGATAAAGTCCCACAATGAGACGACCATTAATTTGAATTATTTAAATATATATTTAAAGAATCATTTAAAGAATCATTGGTTCAGATCTGAGTCAAGCAGCAATGAAACTGGTTTAACCAGCATCCGGACACTTCATTTGTATGTTTTACCGTCAGTATATATGACCCACCCTACTATGACCCACCCTCTGCCTCTGATTGGTTAGTAGTCGTCTTAAACAGGGTAAGCCAATCAGAGGTGGTCGAGCCTTTGCCTTCCACGGAAATGTGCCTGGTGCGGACGTGTGTGACAGTTGGTCAAAAATGGCCTTGAAGTCGATATGACTGACCGCTTTTGATTCAAATCCCTGTATGAAAATCACGCCCACATATTCATACCACCATATATTTTGTTGTGTTGTTTTTTCTCACATGTCCACAAATTAAAGAAATACGAAGAAATCGCCACATGAAAGAGACGAAAGCAGACAGCAGGCAATGAACCAAAGAGTAGGACAAAGAGGTGAGGTCTCACTCTGTCATAAATTAGGACTCGCACAACGTCATAAAAGCGTGAAGCCTCCGATAGATTGTAGCTTTTACGAATTTAATTACGAATATTTTACCCATGTGGTGTGTTCCTAATGTATATAGTGACAGTTATATTCATTTGTCCATGTATTACATTTAAATAAGGTTTTTTTGTGAAACAAAGAAACAGCATTACGTGTATTTATTTATTTTTAACAAGTACAGAATCTCATACTACCGGAAGCTTCATTTAACATTATATTCAGTTGCTCAATATAATTTGGTTAATTTGACAATAAAAGACCAGATTTATATCTCAATTTGTGTGATCACTCTGGTAGATATTGTCTTTTTTTCATACGCAGAAAGGATGTCTGCGGGGTGAGTCATCACATCAATAGACGATCTTTGTCGCTAGCTAAAGAGCTGCCGCTAAAGTGGAGACCGGACTGCGACCGTTCCTCGCTCCGGTATGATGCCAGGTGACAGCAACATGACCTCCGTCATTCAGAGAATAACTCGGCAGGCTCTCGTCACCTTCAGGAGCCCGCCCCGGGTCGGCGAGGAGGCCGCTAAGTCTTTCCTGGAGAACCAGAGCAAACTGAAAAGTCTGATGACGGAAGTGCGAGCGGCGGACCTGAAGCTGGCCCCGCGGAGAGGAGGAGGCGGCGACGGCAGCAGCAGCTCGCCCGGCGGCGTGTCCCCTCCGGTCACCTACATGCACATCTGCGAGACGGACCAGTTCAGCATGGGGGTGTTTCTGCTGAAAAGCGGCGCCTCCATCCCGCTGCACGACCACCCGGGCATGCACGGCATGCTCAAAGTCATGTACGGCAAGGTCAGGATCAGCTGCTTCGACCGTCTGGAGCGACCGGCCGGCGGCAGCGCGCAGGCAGCGGAGATGGGCGCTCTGCGGCGCTCCGTGCTTCGCACCATCGACGAGTACACGGAGGAGAGCGGTCCGTGTGTCCTCTCACCCGACCGGGACAACCTCCACCAGATCGACGCCGTGGACGGCCCGACGGCGTTCATGGACATACTGGCCCCGCCGTACGATCCGGACGACGGCAGAGACTGTCACTACTACAAGGTCCTGACAGAAGCGGAGGTTAAACACACAGAGCAGAAGGACAAGGAGGTCTTGCTCATGGAGATCTCACAGCCCCCGGAATTCTGGTGCGGAGGGGAGCCCTACCCGGGCCCGGAGGTCTGCCTCTGATCCATCGGACTGACCTGCAGCCGCAAAATGTCTCCTTTTTCTCGTACTGGTCTGGTTTATGCACCCTGTAGTGGCACGAGGCCGGGGGCTTTTGGACTTGGTTGGACAAACCTCGCTCAGTAAAGGGTCAATCTAAATCATGAATGCACGTGAAGACTATTGTGAACTGTTCCTGTAGAGAAACCACAGCACAACATTAGCTCACCTTATTGTAAGGTATTGTAAACAGTGCTGTTTACAATTGCAACTGTTGTTTTCCAAAGGTGAAATATAATGACTCAAGTTTCCATTTCACCTCGACAAAGAATTGGAGCATCCTGTTTGTACTGTGATCCCTCTCTGTGTCTGTTTTAAGGATATTATGAGCAGAGAAGTAGCTACAGGAGTTGAGTAATTTTACTACAATTATAGTTTTCAGATATTTCTTTTACCCCCCCGAAAGGGAACGCAATCAATTTATTTTGTGATGCATTTGTTTCTAGTCCCTAATTCTCTGATGTTATCCAAGTCCAAGTTTGGCACTGTAGTCTCTAAAATATCTCCGATCAAATGGGAGAAGATGTTTGACTCTGCAGGTGTAGATGATTGACAGCTGTAACAAGGGAAAGAGAGGACTTGTGAGGTGTTGAGGTCACATGTTGTCACCTCTTTTATCTCCTAAGACGTTCCATCACACGCACTCGCTGGCTTTATCTGATGGATTTAGTTTAATTAAAGGTGGTATCATTGTGTGAACATATGAAAGGTTAATAAACCCCAAAAGCACAAAAATTGGAGGCCTCTGAGAGGTATGTTTGCAGGAGAAATGCCAAGAAATGACAAATTGATGATGTGCAGGGCTCTAATGCTGCGTTCAAGAGGAGTCGGGAAGTCTGCTGCTTGCATGTTTGGTCGAAGTTTGTGCTTCAAGTTTCGACTCTAAAATGGAAATTTGGAGATGACTTCTGATCACATAGCAATCATTTTTTTATAACCTTTTAAATACACAACATTTCAACTTTCAGTATTGCATGAAGTACTTGCTTTTGGCAGAAAGATAATAGTGTTTATTAATGATGTGCAGTCATACTAACAGTTGCCGTCTGTTGCATGAGGCATGCATGCATTATTTTTCCCCACGCTGTAGCGCTGAAACATAATCTGAGTTATAATCTACTTGTTTGGACTTCCAGACTTCTGACTGCGTCTTGAATGCAGCATTAATAATAAGCGTGTCCCACCCTGAGCTGAGCTGAGTTGCCTCTGTGGAAGTTGCCCGAGACCAAAGAGGGACTTTATGTGTCTAATGTGTGTTTCTAATCGTCTTCCTGCTTTGTGGCGTTTGTTCCAGTCGCATTAACAATTCAATCTTCAGGTCTCTTTTCGAAGACTCAAATATATCTGCCGGTTTATTTTTGCATTGTGTTTTAAAGCTAGAAACTGTGGAGCGACTTCTTTTTGTTTGATCCTCAGGACTGTTTGTGATTTGCATAGCTGACTGATCTTCAGGAGACTGTTTAAAGTGGACTAAAAGCTTCTCAGCACAAAGTGTGACTGTGTGTTACCACATCTGAAAAAAGACAGGTTTTCATGAATGAATCAGGAATGCGAGGGTTTGAGTTTATGATCATGTGTATAGAATGAAAAGTGAGCAAAGAAGTGAAGCTGAAAGTGACGACGTGGTTCAATGAAGAGGTTTCATTCAAGTTTGCACTACTGAAAAATTATGCTTTTCCTGAAACAAGTGGTTGCAAGACAGTAAAGCCCTCATAGATAAACTAAAATCTCTGCAGAGTTTTGAAGAGTGGGACCGTTTGAAATATGAAGTCGTGCATTTCGGATAACTTTAAGAAAACTTGTGAGTTGCTGCAAAATGTTGATTTTTAAGAGCAGTGAATAAGACTCGTGTGCTAAATGTTGTATCACCGTGGGAATAAAGGCTGTATAGGCGACACATCTTCTCATTAGCTCAACTCAACCGAGTCCAGAATCTGATTGTGGGTTAAATGATCGGCAACTGTAACGATGTGTTTTGCCTGTAATGAAGGTTTTCGTATAAAATGTGCTGTTTATTTTTGCCTAAAATACGTCTGTTTCATTTGCGTCAAGATGTGATGAAGTGTGAAGAAAAAGCAACATGATGACTTCAGATACATTTTATTTTATTTGACATGTTTTGACGAAGCTCCTCGTGGCGTTGCTCTGAAACATGTTGACGCAGTGAAATCTACTGAATCAAGTTGACCTATATGTTAATAAAAGGCACCGAGCGCTCCTTTAGCAGGTTGATGAAGCTCCGTGTGACTGAAGGGGAAGTAGTTCTGTCTTTGTTATGAGTTTAAAGAGTCTTAAATGGAAAAATGTCTTTGAAATTGTCTTTTAAGTTACTAACTTTTGCAAAGATACATGCAAACTTCTCTGCATACTGTCCATAGACGTTGCAAAGTATTTTATACACCTACCTAAAATAGAATTTGAATGTGCGTGTTCAAGTAGCTTAGTTTCAAAGGTTGCTGCTGACAAGAAAAGCTCAACCTCATGGTCCATTTAGTAGCTGTTGTGCAGCAGAGGGAGTTTCAAACATGTATGAGAAATTAAAAGGAATTGTAGATGAATTTGAACATCTAATTCCCTGACAAGTGGGCGAACACCGTCTGCCCGTGGAAGGGGATGTGACCAAAAGCTCCAGAAGAGTCTGTAAATAGACGTTTATGCCGAAATAAAGAGAAGGAACCGCAGGCAGCCATGACAACTCGACAAGTCAACGTTTATTTGCATCGACAAGAAGCGTCAGTCCAGCAGAACAAAAGCTTTAGTGTTCCACTTGTTTGCATAACAATGATAAAACACAACTTTTATTTTTCCAGTGAGTCTCTCTCTCTCTCTCTCTCTCTCTCTCTCTCTCTCTCTCTCTCTCTCATATCATTCTTCAGGTAGAAACGCGGGTTGGATTTTTACAAGTATCAAGTGTGCATACAGCTGAAAATACAAAATTTAACCAAGAAACAGATTATCAGGCTACAAGCTCATAAAATCCCAACATGTGCCATAAACTAATGTTAATGTCATTTTCAACATTTCTCATATGGTACAAAATACAGGTTTTAAAAAAAGCTTCATTTTGCTGCATACAGCCAACGACAATTCCACTGAGTTCCCACTTTCGCCTCCGCCCTGGTTTGTGATGTCACAATATCTCTTGGGTGTTCTCTTGACTTCACTTCAAATTAACTCGCTCCCTCGTGTCCTTACTCCGACAAGGGTATATATATATATATATATATATATATATATATATATATATATATATTTAAAGGTGCTAAATTTGAAATTCAGAGCATTTCTCTTGCCTCCACACGGCTCTCAACATGGCGACGGCTGAGCCGGCGGCTCGCAGCTAACGGTGCTAACGGCGCAAACAACGACAACAGCGCTGACAGAGCTGACCATGTTGATGTGAGGGGTAACGCATCAACATGGAGGAGCTCCTGCATTCAGCTGCAACCGCCGTCTGAGCGCCACGCGGAGCGATGGCCGTGAGCTAACCAGCGGGGCAGCAGGCTCACATGCACAAACATGCACTAAAGGCTACGTAAAGAAATCACAGAGAAGCTCCGATTACAACACACACACAGAGGGACTTCCTTCTCTGCAGGTAGACATCACTCCATCATGTATTTACATAACTAATCGTTGTTTGCTGCTTAAATAATGCTCTGAATGTCGTATAGAGAACCTTTAAATATTGTGCACCAGGGACACTAAAATAGAGAATGTAATTTATGTTTGGCATCTGTTTTTTGTGTTAACATCAACCTTTCAACATTTTGCATCCATGGTGACATAGATTAGTCCATTTAGATAAATAAGCATCATAGCCAATTTAGTATCACATTACAAAACGTATTGCGTGTATCTGTCTCATAAACCCTGCAAAACATCTTTTAACTTTAATATGATAAATATTGAACATTGATGACGTCCCTACTACTTAACTGTGCAGAAGAACATGTGAGGATTTCCAGCTTGCAATTCAATTATTGGAGATGGGATGAATACTGAATTACATTTGGCCTCATGCCGAAACCAAAATGCTGAGAAGAGAAATTCTTGTTGTAGATGATTTTGGGAGTAGGTTGTTGAAAAACTGTCAGTTTAAGTGAGGGCTCAAACCCCCCCCCCCCCCCCCTCTGATACCACAGTGATTTATTGTAATTTTTCTGAGATTACCAGATTTTGTACATTAAACTGCAGTTGAAACCAAACCACAGCTGGTTAAACTCCTGCATCGGTCAGCTGACCTGCAGCATTTTGGTCTCATGTTTGCAGCCTTGATTGTAATTGAATCCCTGAGAATATGAAGCATGTAGACAGTCAACACACTGCTTTGCCACAGAGCACTAAAATGAGCTGTAGCAGCTGGTCACACTGTGTTTTAAAGAAGCACACCAACTGTTGTCGTTTAAAGTGTAAACCAAAGTCCATTTACAATTTAACACCACAATGTCCAACTTTGTTTGTGTGTATGACTGTCTATTAATAATCTGAACCACTGACTGATGAGGAATTATGTTAATGTGATAAATAACGACGGCATGGCCAAACTCTGGTCCCTGATTCTACCTGATGTGCTTCCAAAGAGATTTCTTCCACCTCTTGACTAAATAAACTACAAGGTAAGATTTGGACTCTTTTGGCTGACAGACTGAGGCAGGAGCCGATCCACTGGTCATGTTCGGATTGAGAAAGTACCCATTCACCAGCATCAAGCCGTGCGCGATGAGGATTAAGACGCTGAGGATTTCTTCTCCTTCTGCCGGAGGTGAATCTTCATGTGCCTCCTCCTTTCGTCACTCCGGGCGAACTTCCTCCCGCATTGGTCGCAGGAGAAGGGTTTCTCCCCGGTGTGCGTGCGGATGTGGGTGGTGAGGTGGTCGCTGCGGCTGAAGTTCCTCATGCAGATGCGGCACTGGAATGGTTTGTGGCCCGTGTGGATGCGCAGGTGTCGGCTCAGCTCGTCCGACCGGGAGAACCTGCGATCGCAGTTCTCCGCCGGGCACGGGTACGGCCTCTGGTGGACCGGCGTCTTGCTCGGCCGGTTCGGGTACTTCCTGGGTCTCAGGATCGGCCGAAGAGGGAGGCTTTGGTGGCTGGGGAAGGCGGCGGCCATCGGACCTTCGGCCGCAGGTGACGGCGCACCGAGCGTAAAGTTCCTGATGGTGTTGAGAGGAGTTAGAGGCGGAGGCACCCTGAGGGAGTCTAGCGGGTACGGGAGTGATTTCCTCTCTGGGAAAGACGCCTGGATATCTCTTTGGCAGCTCTGCTGGTAGAAGCCTCCGTACTCGGGCATGATAGACAGCAGTGCGGCGCCGTCTACAGTCGATTTAGGCGCAGGGTTGTAGGTCGGAGGCGGGTGGTAGGACACAGAGCAGGTGGAGGTCGACAGGTACCCCCCCGCCGACTGGTCCTGGTACATGTCTCCGCTGCAGGAGTAGGAAGGGGCCGGGTGAGGGTGAGAATGAGGGTGAGGATGAGGATGATGATGGGGGGGCACGTACATGTGACTGATGTCCGGATGGCCGTGCGCCATGGTACAGTCCCCCGCGTCAAGATCTGGCGATCTTGAACACGACGCAGACACCGGGGCGGCGATGTCAGCGCTGATTACGTTGATGACCTGCCTCGGTGTCCACGGTTCTCCTGCGCCTCTGGAGTCCACCGAGAACTTGCCAGTAAACGCCACTGGGTGCGTGCGTAAAGTTGCCACGTACTGCGCCAAGTCCCCGTAGCAAGGCAGCTCAGGTGCGCTCTTCCCCTCGAACAGAAGGGTACCTAAAATATGTAGAAAAGTACACTCGGTTAGACTGCAACAACACGAGCACATCATCTCATGACACGGGTGTCTTCTTACACCCACTTCACCGTCATTTGATTAAACATTTTGGAGCAATTCAAATTAGAATGTTGTACTTTCACCCAGACCTCCAGCCACACCACCTCAGGACAAATAACACAAATTCTTACCGCTTTCATTCTCTTCATGTTCTTCTTCCCCTAGAGCCTCTTCTTTAAAAACAATCGACCCCTCCGCTGAGTACACATCTCTAGGAATACTGTCTACAAGACTGCTGAGAGATACAAAAACTTCATTCGCTATTTTAGTAGTCATCCTGGAGATCAGGCGGTTTAGACTAATTATAGGAAATATTTTAGTCCATTTTTCTCTCAAACATTTTGTCTGTTCAGCCCGTCATCCCTTGTAAACAGCTCCTGAATGCTGCAGTATGGTTATAAAGGGAATCGCTGGGTGTCCCGGCACGTCATTCACCAAGTATGGACTTGGGTTTGAAAAAAAAGAAAGAAGAAGAGGGAACTCCAGAAATAGGATTGGTGGAGCTCGCCGTGACAAAACGTGGAAACAATTAAAATGACATGTTGAAGTTTAATAAACCCGGAAAAAAATGGGGAATCTGAATTTTGGGTTTTTTATTTTAACATCTATCACAAAAATCATCACGTGCTTCGTGCTGCCCTCAGACACATGTAAAGGAGGAGAAAAAAAATCTCCATCATTCGGAATTCCGGTCACTCTCTCTCCATAAAAGGATTCTCCGGTGAGGTGAGAGGATCTGGGTCTGCTTATATGGCTGGTATCCGGGTAAAACTGTGTTGCTTTGTTTTGTCTTTGTGCCAGCTGAGCCCACACACTGACAGCACAGACCCATTTGTTTTCTCTCTTGCCTTGTCAGGAACAGATTTCTGCTCTGACTGAGTCTTCCTATTGTTGGCTCGCTGAGATAGATGGGGTGATTAGTGAGAAGAACAAGAAGCTGGTTCCTCTTGGTGGTGTCCCCATGTTTAGTGGTTTAGTTTTAATGATGATGTTAGGCACATACCGTGTGTGCAGTAGGCCTATGTGTTGGTACTGTAGAGAGAAAACCTGCAGCTGCAACAGACATCAAATCCACTTCATACACAAGTATTTCCTACAAAAACCCACATTTTAACATAACAATCTTTGCAAAGACAGGAACAGTACCGATATTGTTTCTCTTTACGTGCAAAAATTGCCATCACGGGTATCTCATTCACATCTATGTTTTGAGTAATGTATTATTTGAGTTAAAGGTACATTGCGCTGATTTTCTAACATCAACAATCTACCTTTGAGGTTAAATTGAGAATTTAAGAATTGCACTGGTTGATTAACTTCTCTGTCCCATGACATGTCAACAAGCTAATGTGGTCTGGAGCCTCTGTGGAGCAGAAGTGAGCATCGGACTACATAGTTCTGGTTAGCTCACTTCGTCCTTACTCCACTCCTCCAAATTTTTTAACTTTTCACACTTCAGACCCAGCTGATGCTGACTCAAGTGACATCACTTTAGGACATTCGGGGACTTCACACAAAAGGCTTTATAGTACTATTAACATATGCAGTACTCTCCCACACCTGGAAACACGAGCTTTGTGGAGCTCATGAAATCCTCTACAGACACTCATGGACCCCAGAAGATGAACCCCCTGGACCTCTCCTCTAGCAGCAACATCTTCAGATCAGACAAATCCTCAGAGGATAAACCTTTTAGATCACGAGCTTTCCTTTGGACGGGAAAAGCGAGTCAGGATGGAAAAGACTGAATGCTTTTGGATGTTTGCAGTGTAAACAGAACATATTTAAATCTGTTTGATTTGTTGAATAGCTGATTAAAGCGCTGAAGAAGCTGAAGCCTTCTGCTGCATCACTGAGCTGCGGAGACGAACACAGCGAGCAGGAGGACCGCAGCTCCTCCAGCCTTTTGAACGCCCACAGTTACAAAAATGTTGGTGTGTATTGTCGTTGTGTGGCGAGCCGCCCACCCTGTGGCAGATGGGGGTTTGGCCACTCCACGCACACTCACACACACACACACACACACACACACTGCAATGAACAGGCTCAGAAACCAAATACACACAATTAGAAAACACACTTTCTCACAGGCACAAACACTCCCACATGCACACGCACACACACACAAATACACAGTTTCGACTGCTCAATGTAACTCTCTCTCTCTCTCTCTCACACACACACACACACGCACACACACACACACACACACACACACACACACACACACACACACAC